GGGAAAGAGAAAAAAAGCCATTCAAAGGTTTCAAGCTTCAGATTATGGTAAGATACAGAGACAAAATGAATTTATCAAATAATAACAAAGATCACATACATGTTACCAAACGAAGTTTAAAGAAAACCAATTCTACAGGTCTAAGAAATTCAATTCATGAGATTTGGGAAAAGATGCAAATTTCCTCGACTCCACCCTACTAAGAAACAATCAGTCGGTGCAGCAATCAAGAAAAGCCCTTTCCTAGATGTTCAGAAGAACCTTAAGAAAGTCACCTCCTAACTCAGGGCCTCTTGATTTTATTTTTCTTTGCCATAACCTGCCTACTTGCTGCCCTCCCTTCCCATCAATCGCCAGACGGGTTGGGAAGTGGGATACTGCGTCGAGGCGCTGCTGGCCGCACTAAAGCTAGCCCTATTCGGTGCAGCCGGCTAGGAGCATCACCTGCCGTCCCACCTGCTCCTCTTCTTCGTCTCCCGGCCCTACACACACACACACACTTTTACACACTGGCACGCGCATCTGTTGTCAGGGAGGAGGTACCGCCCCATCCAAGCCAAACCCTCGCTTTCTCTTCCCCAGGATATAGCCCCCGAGGACAGACTCTTGCCCAAACCGGAGACAGGATGAGGCTACTGCTGCTCTCTTACCTCCAGTAGTGACAGAGATCCTGGCCACCGCTCCTCTGCGCCAGGCCAGCCAGGCCCGCCGGGGTCAGCCCCGGTCTAGTCAGGATGCAACCAGGAGGGCACCCCCGCCCGCCCCCCGCATCAGCTTCTGCTAGAGCTGGGAAAGCGCGCGCCCGTGATTCAGCGCCTTTCCGCTGCGCCGTTACCACGGCGACGCGAGCGCACGCGCACACGCGCCCCCAGGGATGGGTGGGCAGCAGTCCTTCTTGCCTAGCTCCCGACTCCCAGCTTGGGCTCTAAAGATGGGTACCCAGGGGACGGACTCCCACCCCGCAGGCGACCAAGCAGAAGACTTTCGGGCAGCAGTGCGGCCTGCATGCCCCACCCCCTTTCCTTCACCAACACTTTGACGGACACCGTGGTCCTAAACGGCCCGGGGGATGAGTGCCTCTTCCAAATGCCGCGGGCCAGGGTGGCTCTAGGGAGGCGCGAGCACACTACTTGGGTCAAAAACCCTTTGTAAATGTCTCCCCCGAAGCAAATTCACCCCGCACGCACAAGTCCCACTCCTCCCGAGGTAGCCTCTTTAGGCCCTACTATGTTTTGAGCACGTGTTGCTTTCTGAAGGAGGATGGAAACAGGTGTTAGGAGGGGCCCAGATCAACCCCACGCTTTATAGGTTAACCAGGTGCCCAAAGGATTTAGATTACATTTGCATCTGTGGGAAGGTGATCATCTGAACGATAGAAAACTCATGTGAAAGACTCTTCCTTGTATTTATACTGTTTTCTTGTAAGAAAGATTCATGCATCTAGGTATGGTAACATAGGGCACAAAAGGAAGCCAGAGCATTCCTGAAGCATTCCTTGCACATCCCCATGACTACAGTACAGTGCTTAGACCTGATGAACAAGCCCCTACTAAGCTACTCCCTGGCTATGGCTGGGCCTTGGATGAGTTACTTGCTAAACCTGTTTTGTCAGTTATAAAATAGAGATGGTAATAGCATTCCTTTAGGATGATTGTGGGGATTAAAAGAAAATGAACGGTTAAAGAATAAAAACTGGGCTTCCCTGGTGGCGCAGTGGTTGAGAGTCCGCCTGCCGATGCAGGGGTCACGGGTTCGTGCCCCGGTCCGGGAAGATCCCACATGCCGCGGAGCAACTAAGCCCGTGAGCCATGGCCGCCGAGCCTGCGCGTCTGGAGCCTGTGCCCCGCAACGGGAGAGGCCACAACAGTGAGACGCCCGCGTACCGAAAAAAAAAAAGAATAAAAACTGCTTGGGACTGAAAGAGGCAAAATCAGTTTGGACTAAAAAGAAAAAGGCAACCCTGCCAATTATCGGGCTGGGAGGACAGGCACAGATTAAGCCAGAAGCAAAATTAACAGGAAATATTTCCCCCAAAGTCATGCAGCAGCTGTAAAATGACATAACAAGCCCCTCTTTGAATGACTACTGCTTTCCTACCACAGACGCCCCCTTTGCTTTGCTATTTTCATCCGTAACTTGTGATACCCCACTGCTGAATTCTCCTTGCCTCATGACAGCACCCAGTCCATAGTTAGTCCCTGCTTCTCCTAACCTGCCTCTGAAAGAATAAGCAACAGTACAAATCTGATTCCAAGACCCTCCTTCAAAGGGAACCCAAACCTTACAAGACACTTCCATCCTTTCTCTTCTCACCAGTGGCATTCCACTGTACCCCCAAAGTGACCTTTCTCACCACATCAATAAATCTGATGTACTCAGACAAGCCCGTTCCCAGGAGTCTTTAAATAAAAATTAAGTCATTAAATAAAAATTAAGTCATTAATATATGGGCTTAAAGTCTTTACATATATACATATTTACATATATATAAGCTTAGCCTAGACTTCTAAACTCAGATCCATTACAATGAATATCTGTTTTGATACATATAATACATATAATATCTATTTTGGTACTGACTTATGAAAATGTTAGCCTGCCTCCCTAGGACACAAATGTGAGGGCACTGTCTCATTTCATTTCAGCATTTATTGAGCTCCTGCTGCATGCCAGACACTATAGTAAATACTAAGGATAAAATGATGTATTTTTAGTACAGCTTTTCTGACTTCGTCTGCTTTTTATATGTTGTTGGTTGGGATGTTTGTTCTTACTAAACTGCACAATAAAAGACAAGGAACTATCTTTTTTTGAAGGTGGGAGAAACAGGCCTAGCAAGATTCAAGTACATTCCGTTATCAGTGGCAAAGATGGTGCTTAGCATATTGATATATAACACTCTGAGTTGGAATTTCACCAAGAAGGGGGGTAAGGCACACAAAGCTACTATACTGAGAAAACTTGAGATTCAAAGTAAAAAGTTCAAGATACTGCATATTAGTAGTTTCTTAATTCTTGCATTATTTGAGAAATATTGCCCATCGAAAGCAGACCAAAAGTAGTTTTGTTCCTATTCACTTCACTTATAACTTGTTTCTTAGATTTTGTCACTATAAGGAGTAAATGGGAAGGTATTTCACTTGGATGCTGAGTCATAAAATGATACTCCTTCCAGTTTTAAAACAATTTGATAATTATTTAATCTAATACACACTACTACATATTTTACTTTTTTATATTTAGCCTTTCACTCATCTAGATATTTTTTTTTGTAATTTGAAGTGTGGTAGAGTTCTAACTTAATTATACTTCCAAGTGAATAAGCAATTTATGCCAAAAATATCCTTTTCCCACAAAAATGAACTATTGCTTCCGTAATACATGCTAAAATATTAGCATTAGTACTCATTTTAAATGATTAAAATTATGATTAACATATAAAACTTTTCCATTATGACAAAGCATATGTTATATATAAATTCAGCTTGTCTTTTTTTTTTTTTTTTTGCTGTACGCGGGTCTCTCACTGTTGTGGTCTCTCCCGTTGCGGAGCACAGGCTCCGGATGCGCAGGCTCAGCGGCCATGGCTCTCGGGCCCAGCTGCTCCGCGGCATGTGGGATCTTCCCGGACCGGGGCACGAACCCATGTCCCCTGCATCGGCAGGCGGACTCTCAACCACTGAGCCACTAGGGAAGCCCCAGCTTCTCTTTTTTTAGGTGTTTTAGTTGTTAATTTTGACAACCCTGATGAAAATAAGTTTCTGCCACTTCTCATTCTAATTATTACCGCCAGCTTTCATTTTTATATACTGAGGAAGTCAATATATTCTTGGCAATACTTGGCAGAGTGAGAAGCAACGTGGAAAGCTGTTTTCTTCCACACAAAGGTGAAACAGCAGTGGAGCCAGAAACAGGAAGCAGGTAAAAATTTCAATCCCATCATGAGCACAAAAAACATACTAAAACAAACTATAAACAAGCAGAATTCTTTATTTAAAGTACATTCTCTTATGGGGAAAAAAAAATCTTTCCTTAAAGCACATGTAGACGTGCTCCTCATTCACGTCTGGAAAAAAATTCAGTTTTACAAGTAGCAAAACTAAAAGGCTAATTCTTTATACACATTTGTTTTTCTCTTAGAAAAAAAGTCCAATGCCTCTATAAAACTGACTTTAATCATTATCAAGCCTAACTTTGCCTCTGTTGGTGACATAACTACAAACATGAATTTTTAAAAATTAAGGGATTTTAAATCATGAGTTCATTTCTAGCTTACCAATTAGGCACGGTTAGCTGACAAAAAGTCTGATGTAGGACAGCTGCAACCTATTTAAATGCCGATCTAGCCAGCAGCTGTGAGCACTACTACAAGCCTGAGCTTGTAACAGCTGATAGCCTTTGTGACCTTTCATTAAGAGGCCTCATGCTCTGAACACAGGTATGCTTTCGTTTAAATAAACACTAAGATTTAGTTCTGAAATCTGAGGACACAATCCACAAAATAAAATCACAGTCGTTTTTTCTTTTGTTACAGTGATCCAGTATATTAATTCCTCCATATTAAACTACCTTTCCAGACAGGTAGCAATTATATTTGCAAAAACACAGAACAAAATTGCTCAGAACATTTAAAACTCGTATTTGAAAAGCAGTTCACAATATTACATCTAAGGTGCACAGAAGACCCCAGTGATCACTAGGAAATCTACCACAGGCCAGTTTTTCCAACCCAAGGAGGTCCAAACTTCGGGGAATAATGTGGCCGCCTTCTGCTGCTGCTCTAAAAAATATTCGATCAAAACGAAGCTTGCAAGTAGCAGCTATTCCAAGATTAGAGTTCATCTGTGTATCCCACGTATACTGGCAATGCTTAGGGTTGCCCAAAAACTCCCAGACATCCAAAATGTTGTTGGGTAAACCACCACATTTGGTAACCTAAAAAGAAAAAGAAAGAAAACTCTTTTCAGTCTTTTTTCCCTTATATTAAAAAGGTCTTTACCGTTACCACATCTAAGTGCAACTTTTCAAATCAGAATGCCACAGATTATTTATTAATGCACAAATGCAAAACTAGATACTAGATATATTATAAAATTATTTTACTGCATGATAATAAGTAGGTAATACAAAAAGATCAAGAGAGACAGGAGAGGTCTGAGATTTGCCCCTTCTCTCTTCCACCACAAGTAGCTCCCTAACTTTGGGAGTCAGATAAAACTCAGAAGACTGAAAATCCATGGTCTCAGTTATTGCTATTAGTAGTTTAAAAAAAAAATGAACATTAAGCGTAAAGAAGGCAAAACTGTTACTCTAATCTATAAATTGAGTATACCATTTATATGATCCAATAATGTCAAATGCCTTCAGTTTTATATGAAATTTACTAACAACATTAACTTTTCCTCCCATTCACACTCTAGGATTTAAAATTTTTTTTTATCATGGTAAAGTATACATAAAATTTATGACTTTATATACAGTTCAGTGGCATTAAGTACATTCACATGATTGTGCAACCATCACCACCATCCAGCTCCAGAACCTTTTCAATGTCCCAAACTGAAACTCTACCCATTAAACACAAACTCCCCATTCCACTCTCCCCCCAGCCCCTGGCAACCACCATTCTCCTTCCGGTCTGTATGAATTTGACTACTTTAGGAAACTCACATAAGAGGAATCATGAATATTTGTCCTTTTGTTACTGGCTTATTTCACTTAGCATAATGTCTTCAGGGTTCATTCACATTACAGCATGTGTCAATACTGCCTTCCTTTTTAAGGCTGAGTAATATTCTATTTCATGTATCAATATATGCATTTTGTTTATTCATCTGTCAATGGACACTTACACTTAGGTTGCTTCCATATTTTAGCTACTGTGAATAATGCTACCAACACAAGTGTACAACTATCTCTTTGAGGCTCTGCTTTTGCTTGCTTGTATCCACTCAGAAGTGGACTTGCTGGATCATATGGAAAGTCTGTTTAATTTTTGGAGGAATCCTTACACCACGTTCCACAGCAGCTGCACCATTTTACATTCCCAGAACCGGTGCCCAAGGGTTCCAATTTCTCCATATCCTTGCCAACACTTGTTATTTTCTGTTGTTTTGTTTTTTTATAACAGTCATACTAATAGATGTGAAGTGGTACCTCACCATGGTTTTGATGTGCATTTCTCTCATGACCAATGATGTTAAACATCTTTTCATGAACTTACCGGCCATTTGTATATCTTCTTTCGAGAAATGTCTAAATCTTTTGCCCATTTTTTTCTTTTTTAAATTGTATTTAGGGCTTCCCTGGTGGCACAGTGGTTAAGAGTCTGCCTGCCGATGCAGGGGACACGGGTTTGTGCCCTGGTCTGGGAGGATCCCACATGCCGCGGAGCGGCTGGGCCCGTGAGCCATGGCCGCTGAGCCTGTGCGTCCGGAGCCTGTGCTCCGCAACGGGAGAGGCCACAACAGTGAGAGGCCCGCGTACCACAAAAATAAAAAAAGAAATAGCTTTAAATTGTATTTATTTATTTTTGGCTGCGTTGGGTCTTAGTTGTGGCACATGGGATCTTTCATTGTGGCGTGCTGGCTTCTCTCTAGTTGTGGTGCATGGGCTCCAGAGTATGTGGGCTCCAAAGCTGTGGCACGTGGGCACTCTAGTTGTGGCGTACGGGCTCTCTAGCTGTGGTGTGTGGGCTCCACAGCACGTCGGCTCAGTAGTTGCGGCATGTGCGCTCAGTTGCCCTGCTGCATGTGGGATCTTAGTTCCCCGACCAGGGATGGAACCTGCGTCCCCTGCATTGGAAGGCAGATTCTTAACCACTGGACCACCAGGGAAGTCCCCTGCCCAGTGTTTTTTTTTTTTTAATTGTAGGAGATCTTTGTATATTCTGAATATTCTGAATATCTCATCAGACATATGATTTGCGAATATCTTCTACCATTCCATGGGTTGCCTTTTCACTCCATTGATAATACCCTTTGATGCACAAAAGTTTTTAATTTTGATGAAGTCTACCTTATCTATTTTTTCTTTTGCTGTCTGTGCTTTTGGTGTCATATCCAAGAAATCACTGCCAAATCCAATGTCATGAAGGTAAAAAAGGTTGAAAAAAGAAAATTCAGAAGGAAAAGAGTTAGGGACAACTATGTTGGTCAAATCTTTTTGTTCTTCTTACCTTACAACTAAGAAACTGCAAATAAACGACCTTTTCTAAATTCTTCTAATCATTATTTTCTCTAAACCTCTCTTGTTAATCAGTATATATTGTTTTGTGTTGTCTGTTTCATAAACCATATATATGTTTTCACCCAATAATGTAACAGCCCCTTCTGCCTCTGCTTCCCCTGTGCTAGGCAAGTAGCACAGGCTAAATAATCATTTGCTGAATTGCACCTGCAAGGTCACTTATACATTATGAACAAATCAAAGTCCTAGTTTTAATAGCTTTAGTCGAAAGAAACCTAAATTAGTTTCCACAGCAATAATCTGCCCATAAACACTGAAATGACTTCATCACTCACTTCGTGATCCCTTAAATTTGTATCTCCTGCAAATATAACTGTAGCTGACGCTGGAGCCTCTTGCATTTTCTTTAAAACCATTTTCAACTGATTCATTCGTTCCTTAGCATGCCCTCTGGTGCTCTCCAAATGAGAAGTCATAAGGCAAAGTTCATTTCCTGACACACTCACCTGCAACAAGATAAAGAGAGTTGTTAAAATGATCCACTAACAATTAACACTGAACTTTGTTAACAGAATCAGTAATTATTCAACTGATTGGTATATATTAATATTTACTAAAGTGAAACTATATAATCAGCACTGTGCTTATCCTTAAAGGTCAAAGAATACTGAACAAGTACCCACTAATACTTCAAAACCTCCCTCGAATGTCAACTCCACTGTGAGCCCTTCCCCAGCATCCCAGGCATCAGTGGCTCCCTCCCCTATCCTCCTACAGCACACTGTGTAGACTGTTTACAAAGTCCCCTAGATCGAACTGCAGCACAATTATCTCTCTCCTACAAAGCCCTGAGTCATTTGAAAGCAAAGATGGCTCTTTTATTACTATGTTACTGAGAGCCTGGCACATAGGTAACTCAAAATAATGTCAGTTAAATGAACGAATGAGAATCACTTACCATTTGCAATTAAGATACCAACAATGTAAGATCTGTCATTATTTAAACTAATTGCCTGCAGAGTCCAGTTCAAATTCCTTCACATTGGGCATTCATGATCTCCTATAATCTGGATCCAACCTACTTTACCAACCTGTCGTCACACTACCCCCTTTGTGCCCTCTACATCCAACTGAATAGAAGGCTCGTTTATAGCTACACATGCCCTCTTTCATATATACATACTGTGCTATGTACAATTTGCAAAAGTTTGCTCATGGTGGTTCTGCCACCTGCACCGTTTTTTTTTTTTTTTTTTCAGTACCCGGGCCTCTCACTGTTGTGGCCTCTCCCGTTGCGGAGTACAGGCTCCAGACGCGCAGGCTCAGCGGCCATGGCTCACAGGCCTAGCCGCTCCGAGGCATGTGGGATCTTCCCAGACCGGGGCACGAACCCGTGTCCCCTGCATCGGCAGGTGGACTCTCAACCACTGCTCCACCAGGGAAGCCCTGCACTGTTCTTAACGTCTACATTTTACATATTTTTCAGGGCCCAATTCAAACACAACTTCTGTCATGAAACTTTCACTAAACAATGCAGCTGAAAATCATCTTTCCTTTCTCTAAACTTCCATGGCATATCATTATACCTCTCCCATGGCATTTATGCCTTTCGTTTATTTTAGGTACTATACATACAATCTCTCCCCTGCTAATCTATGAGCTCTATGAGACCAAGATCTATTTGACTCATTTTTGTAAGACTCACAGAGTACAACACAGTACCAAGTACAGTGCATTTAATAATAATAAAAAAAAAACTAGGAAGCAACTGTGGAATGTCAGCAAACTCTTATACATTAAGAAAACATCTAATGAATCAAGGATTTTACTTTTACAATTTGTCTATATTTGAAATGTATGTAAAAATTTAATTTATAAAGTTCTTTAAGACTATTTAAAAGAACCTATAAGTGAGGAGTAAATATTTTTCTAAAGACAACGGTTTTTTAAAAAGGACCCCATCATGGAACTATGAAAAAAATAGTGCATTCTTTTTTTAAAAAAACCAGTCCATTTGAAAAAATTACTTACATGCACACACAAAAGGTTTCTCATCATTTTTGTATTTGGAAAAGGAATAATCTCTTGGCTTTTAAATTTCAATCTCGATTTCTTCAACATTATAGCTGTGAAATATCCTTCTTCACGACCTTTAAATGTTTGCGGAAAAGAATTTAGGCTGAGAGATCAGGGGTATCTGCAGTTTATCCCAAGCTCCCCTACTGAAAATTTTATAACAAGCAGGTATAGATATTTAAATGGATATAAATCTTAAAAGTAAACTATTATTTCAAAATAGTTGAAGATGGTCAACCAAGTCCCTCTGTAACTGTAAGTATGGAAGAAATATAAAAGTGTAACTGGAAGTATGGAAGAAATACAAAAATAAAAATGCATTTACATAAGTGCCCCAAACAGTTAACAGTGCTAATACCAAACATAAAAATTTGAAAAATTTCTGAAAGGCAGAGTAGATGAGACTTAAACTGAGGCAACTTGACATGCAGTTACTTTTCACTCGGGAAGCACCAGAAAAATCACAGTAAGTGAATAAAAAATCTAGAAAGGTATAAACTTGCAAGAAGAAACAGAAATGGAGGGGCAATGAATGAAAGCTTCCAAGTTTTTCAGAGAACAAAGTAGGTGGAGCAGTGGTAACTGGTTTATCAGAAGGGAGAGGAACCAGGAAAAGACAACAGGAAGAGAAGCGAGAAGAATGGGACAGGGAGGGGCAGGGAGGAGGGCAGCAGACTAGAAAGATGGCAGGTGGGGAGTCCAGCAGGTGGAAAGGAGGAGGAGGGAGAGGGAGGGAGGAAAGAAGAGAGAGACAGAAAAAAGAATTTTCCAGAATTGAAGGTCACAAACCTCCAGATTGAAAGGTCCTACCAAGTGTTTGGCATAATAAATGAAAAAAAGACCCCCAAAACACTGGAGTTAAAAAGAAGAGCCTCGGGCTTCCCTGGTGGCGCAGTGGTTGGGAGTCCGCCTGCCGAGGCAGGGGGCGCGGGTTCATGCCCTGGTCTGGGAAGATCCCATGTGCCACGGAGCGACTGGGCCTGTGAGCCGTGGCCGTTGAGCCTGCACGTCCGGAGCCTATGCTCCGCGACGGGAGAGGCCGCAACAGGGAGAGGCCCACATACCGCAAAAAAAAACAAAAACAAAAACAAAAACAAAGAAGAGCCTCAAAGCTTCCAGAGCGGGAAGGGGGGGAAGAAAGATCAAGAATTAGAATGGCATCAGACTGCTAATCATCAATGATGGAAACTAGAAAACACTGAAATCATGCCTTCAAAATTCTGTGGGAAAATGACTTTCTACCTAGAAATCTTTGTCCAGCCAAACTATCAAGGAACTATGAGAATAAAACATTGGCATTTCCAAATAGGCTGGGATTCAAAAACTTCACTCCCCATGTGCTTCTTAGAAAGTGACCAGAGAATGTGCTCCAAAAAAATGAGGAAGTAAACCAAGGAAGAAAGCATGGGATTCAGGAAACAAGATAACCAAAACAGAAGACAGGCAAAAGGAATCCCCAAAAGAATGCAGAAAAGTTGTCCCGCAAAGAGAGAGAGAGAGAAAAGCAGATAGAGAGAACCCTCTCTTCAGCAATTCTGGATTAAAAAGTAAATCAAAATTAAAATCATACACTAGGTAAAAGTCAAAGTCAAAGAAAACATGAGATTTAGCCAAAAGTCACGAAATGAAGCCAAAGTGGTATATTAAAATGCACTTAGTAAAAACAAAATAGATGAAAAATCAAAAACTAAAATATTCAGGGCAAAAAGGTAGAAAAAGAACAAAATAAATAAAAAGAAATTGATACTTTTTGAAAAAGCATAACCACAGTGCAATCACCACACTTAAACATTTTCTAACAATTTGATTTCACCAAAAAGCTACTTAGTGCCTCAAATTTCAGCAATTTATATTTTCCTGAAAAATCATCCATTCCAACCATTTTTCCACATATGTAATATTCTCCTATGATTTTTTTAGTATCCTGTGTCTGACTTCTTTTTCTCAAACTTACTTTATTTGTGCTTTTTCCTGTCTATGTTCCAATTGTCTAACTTTGGTTTATCTCTCACCTTGTTTTTCAAAGAAAAAGACAAGTTAAATAACAGGAAAACTGTTACCTGTAATAATCTCATAACTACTTGCTTTCTTCTTTAGGAAGGCAGAATATGGGGGAATAACTTCCTGTAGAAATACCACATCTGGGCTGTACCTAATTAAACACATCAATTTATGAAAAATATGAGGTATACCATTTCATTTGCAGCTACCTAGATTAGGAAAATGCCACAGCATAAAAGAAAAACAAAATTATAGTCCTCTAGGACACCTAATATTCAATATTTATGCTGACCTTTGATAACTATAAAATGAGAAAGACCTGTGCTATTTAACAAATAATACTGTAAAGATAAAATTTAAAAAAAACATATACATGACAACCCTTCAAAGTTAGAAGAACAGGAATCATTGACACTAGAAACCAATAATATTAAGAGCCTACAATGGTCCTCACTCCTTTTTTTTTTTTTTTTTTTTTTTTTTTTTTTTTGGGGTACGCGGGCCTCTCACTGTTGTGGCCTCTCCTGTTGCGGAGCATAGGCTCCGGACGTGCAGGCTCAGCGGCCATGGCTCACGGGCCCACCCGCTCGCGGCATGTGGGATCTTCCCGGTCTGGGGCACGAACCCGTGTCCCCGGCATCGGCAGGAGGACTCTCAACCACTGTGCCACCAGGGAAGCCCTGGTCCTCACTCTTTAAGATGCTTTAAGTGTTATTTTCTTCAATCCTCTTGAAACAGTTATTATCCATGATAAAGAAAACTGAGCTCTGGAGAACTGAAGTGGCTTACAAATGGTTCCACAAGGTCACAGAGCTAGTGTGTGGCAGATACGGATCCTTTTGGTAATTTTCTTTTCATAGCAATAATTATACACAAAGTTTAGTAAATAAAATAGTACTAGAAGGCTATGAACAAAAATTAGTGTTCCCTCTGTACCCCAAGCCACAATCCTGCTCCCAGAGGCAGTCACTCCCAATTCCTTCAGATGTTTCCTCTGACAGCTGGACTCTGAAGTCAGGACCGATTCCAAAGCCCATAACCTTGAACTGTTACCCTCCTTGTAGGCAGGTAAGACACATTATCACGTTACCATGACACAGATGTAATAATACTTACAAAGTTAAATAGGAACACACCCCTCGAGCCCTCTCTGGCAGATTGTTTAGGTCCAATCCATCAATATTCCAGGTAATGAAAGAGAACATGCTGCCATCTTCTTGCTGAACATTTTCAGATGTGCTGGTTTTAGAACTAATGGAATCGCTTGTTTCTTCCTTGGTTAGGTCAACACTGGCAAGATAAGAATGAAACACAACTTTGCAAATAATCTATAAACTGATTAACTTAAAAATTATTTCGTGACTCTCTGTAGCCCTCATTCTACAGGTAAATAAACTTTAAGGGTCCTAAAAGTATCTGCCTATAGAAGAGCAAGCATCTGATGAGTGAGGAAAAATAGATTCTTACTGTGTTATCCAAATGTCTGCTCACTTAGAACCAACTCAATATCTCTCAGTGACACAGGTCACTAAAATGATTCGATAAATTATGACCCCAAATCAGGCTGAGTAATGTAAGATTTCCACATTTATCTGGATTCATTTTAAATCACATTTGAAATAAGATCTCATTGTGCCAGATAAATAATGGCTGCAATTCTTTGTCATTCCCCTCACTGAGAGATGAAGTCCAACTAATACCCTTCCCCTTGAATCTGGACCTTAGTGACTTGCTTGACCAATAGAATATAGTGAGAAGGATTATTCTGGGATTTCTGAGGCTTGGCCATAAGAAGCCTGTAGCTTTCACTCAAGCCTTTTGGAACACTCTGCCCAACAAGAACCCTGAGCTGCTACCTGAGAAATCTGACTACTCTGAGACTATCATGCTGGAGAGACCATGTGTATGGGCTCCAGCCCACAGGTCTGCCTGACCCCACCTTTCCCACCAAGGCCCAGACATTTGAGTGGAGGGACAAACATTATTAAAAGGCGACTGCTAAGCATTTATAAAATATACATAAATTTAAAAACTAGGATTTTGTATTTATAATTTTAATAAATGTAATGCCAACTTTTAACTTCTTTAAAAAAATTTTATTTTTTAATTAAAAACAATTTTTTTGGCCATGCCACACAGCTTTTGGGATCTTAGTTCCCCAACCAGGAATTGAATCTGGGCCACAGCAGTGAAAGCGCCAAGTCCTAATCACTGGACTGCCAGGGAACTCCTGAAAATTTTTTTTTATTGAAGTATAATTAACAGATAATGTTATACTAGTTTCAGGTATACAATATAATGATTAAATATTTGTATACACTGCAAAATGATCACCATGATAAGTCTAGTTAACTTTTAAACTTTTTTGAAATAATTTTAGACTCTCAGAAAACAGTAAAAAGAATTCTACTCACCACTCATCCAGATAAATGTTAACATTTTACGTAACATTTACTTTACTCTTTTTATTCTGAAACATTTGCATAAATACTTTTGAATGCATTTCCTAAAAATAAGGACATACATACATACCCTAGTACAATTATCAAAAATCAGAAAATTATCATTGATACAATGTTATTATATAATTTAAAGATCTATTCAAACTTTGCCAATTGTGCCAGTAATGTCCTAATCCAGGATCACATGTTGCATCGAGATGGCATGAATTTCTTTCAAGCTCCTTTGATCCAGAATAGTTCTTCCGTCTTTGTCTCTCCCGACCTTGATGTTTTTGAAGAATACAGGCCATTTATTTTGTAGAATGTCCTTCAGGTTGGGTTTGTCTGATGTTTTCTGAGGATGTGCATTTTTTGGCAGGAATCACACAGAACTGATAGGGTGTCCTCCTCAGTGCATCAGGTCAGGAGGCCTGATCCAAAAGTACTGGATTTGTCTCCAGTACTGGTCACGTTAACTTTGATCCCTTGGTTTCTCCACTGCACAGTTATGATTTCCCCCCATGTAATAAGTATTTTGCGGGTAGGTACTTTGAGACTATGTAAATGTCTTGTTTCTCATCAACTTTTACCTATTAGTTTTTTTTTTTTAAATTAATTAATTTTTTTGGCTGCGTTGGGTCTTCATTGCTGCGTGTGGGCTTTCTCTAGTTGCGGCGAGCAGGGGCTACTCTTTGTTGTGGCGCGCGGGCTTCTCGTTGCAATGGCTTCTCTTGTGGAGCACGGGCTCTAGGCGTGCGGGCTTCAGTAGTTGCAGCACATGGGTTCCGTAGTTGCAGCAAGCAGGCTCAGTAGTTGTGGCGCAGGGAATTAGGTGCTCGGTGGGATGTGGGATCTTCCCGGACCAGGGATCAAACCCGTGTCCCCTGCATTGGCACGCAGATTCTTAACCACTGCGCCACCAAGCAAGTCCCTTAGTTTTAGTGTCCATTGATGATTCCTGTCTGAGATAATTACTACCAAGATAGTTCCCAAATGGTAATTTTTTTTCTAACTCTCACATGCCTTCAACATTTGGTAGTTGGAATTCTACTGTGAGGGAAAGTGTTCCCTTCACTCCTGGACAAATGTATTTTTATCAGTGTGGATTCTTATTCTATGCTATAGATAAAGCCTCACTCTCACTGGCATTTGATCTGAGTTCCAAGAGACAACAGACCACAGCCTCATCCATCACTTTGCTTGTTTTCTGCCAATTCATGATTCTGGGCTAGGGGACTCCTAATGGTCCTCTAACCCACCATTACTCAGCTCCACCCACATTTTTTTGGAGGGATGATTTCAGGGACTCCACCTCCTTTGTTCCAATTTCTTTACTGACTACAATTTAGGATACAACTAACAGACACCAACACAGGCTAGTCTGAGTAAAACAAAAGGATTCACAAGGAAACAATCATGTCCCAGAGCCAAGTACAGGAACACAGCTATGCCTATGGAAGTTCGATCAAGGCTCTCTCTCAATCCTACTCAGCATCCTTTGGTTTCACTCTCTCTCTGCAGACTAGCATTCTCAGCTTCCCCATGCACAAAAGAGTATGGGTATGGGTCCCCCACGGGTACTGAGTTAACATGTACAGTCCCAGCTTGACAGGAAGATTCACTAAACACTCTTGGTCCTAATCCCAGGAGAGAGGATCTGATTGGCCAGCACAGGCTAGGTGAACACCTACTAATCTAACTGGCTCTAGCTAATACAACATGGGAGCCAGAGATATGTCACTATGAATGGGTAGACAATTCCCCAACAACAGGCCAGGCAGACGAAGAAAGGAGCCTAATGAAATGATCTTATCACCTTTAAAAGACAGTGCAGCTGAAAAGATCACAGGGAGAAAATTGTATCTACTATGAACAGTTAACTGTAGAGGCTGCCCATACAGCTGGGAGAACTTTATATATTCAATTCATACTTATTGAGAGCTTATTACATGCCAAATATTGTATGAAACTTTGGGAAATCAACAATGTATGAAACAGATACTGTCTTCACCAAATGTGTAGTCTAGTGGGAGATATAAAATACTAAATAGCTATTATAATATGAATTGTCATGCATGATGCTATATAGAATTACTTCAGAGGAGAACCTTACCCAGACTTGGGAAATCAGGGAAAGCTTCTTGAAGACAAGTCATGTCTGTAAGGCCAGCTGGCTCGGGTAAGAGGAAGCATCAGCCGGTTAGAGGAAGAAGCATTGAGGCAGAACGTTCTCACCAATTCTGAGAATCAACAGAAACTCTCCCCCGACTTCCTGCCCCAAGGACTTCCTGCCCCAAGGACGGTGGGGGAGGGGGAGACTCAAACCCCTGAAAGTAAGCCAGTCAACACCTAGCACGGCTGTAGCTTCACCAAGGAATCACCCTGCATAGAAAACCACACCTCCCTTACACCCCAATAAAAATCTCCCAAGCCTAGGACTGGGTGCGAGTTCTCTGGACCCTTTCTCTCGGACCAGTTAACCTCGCCCGGGAGCGCCCCCTAATAAAGCTCACTTGAAGCTTTCCTCTGTTTCGCGGTGCCGATTGTTAAGATCCGACCTTACAATGTCTAAGGTGGACTTTTAAGATAGATGTTACTTAGCAAGGAAGGAGGAAGAAAAGGGTTCTAGGCAGAGATGATAAATATCTTTACAAAGGTTGAAAGGCAAGAAAAAATGACCCACTGGAGAAAGGGAAAGTTTGGTATGCCTGGAAGTTTTGTAGGGTAGGAAAGAGAGTGTGAAAGGAAACGAACCCAGAAATATGGTCAAACCGTGGAGGGACCTGTAAGGCACCTGGACTTTAAGAGCAGAATTGCATGAATTGGGGAGGGAGCACTGGAATAATAGGGGCGGATGTGCAGTTTATAAAATCTATTATCCTGGCCGGGCGGCAGAGAGTAAATAAACAACAGTATAAGAAGCAAGAAGACTTCCAAGTTACCATTCCTCAGTAGAGGATTTTGCCTCATTCATTTGTTTTGAAACTCTTGCTTACATATTTCCTAAACTTGGAGTCAAAAAATTACATTTCAGATATTCCCCCACTCCCCACCCCCCGACTCCAAAGTACCTTCGAAGTGACAGCCTGGACTTCGGGAGAGAAGCGTCAGCTCCGCTGCTGGGACCCGTCTCCATCCTACGCACCAACAAAACCCCTCAGCCTCCGGCTATTCAGAGGCGAGACGTGCCTCTACTCAAACCCCGCCGTCCAACTCGACTGCAGGTCCCAGGACGCTCAACGCAACCCAGTACAAACTGCCCCGCCCAGAGTCGTCCCCGCCCCATCATCACTCACCAGGACTCAGGCTCAGAGGCGGTCTCAAGATGGCTTTTTAAAGTGCTCTCCCCCACTGCCGGCTCGAAGTACGAGTCCAGCGCTCTCTGCAAAACACAGACACAGGGATGGGACGTGTGCGCTGCACGGACCAAAGTAAAGAGCGGGAAAGAGAGAAGCAGCGAAAGCGTACTTCCATCTCCCAGTCGTTCTCGGCCAGGTAGCACTGAGCCACGGCGGCGTCGCAACTCGCGACCGAGGCAAACTCCACACACAGAAGTCTCCGCTTCTTCACCTCGGGCTCTCCCTCCTCCCGCTCACCCTCCAGTGCACCGT